GTGCTGTAGAATGTTCGATGGTCAAAAGTATCATGTTTCAAATGCATAATTGCTTATTCGCTGACAACCTACCTGTGTGAGACTCATGCTAGGCCCTTGGCTACCAAGCACTGTGTCTATCTCTCCCGCTAAAGTCTGTGGTCCTGCCTTTAGTCTGCTCTCTTTCTCCACCATATGGGGCCCAGGGATAACAGTCACCAGGGTGTCATCTATTATGTATTGCCCTGTTGTCCCAGCAATCTGTCAACCATGGATCTATTCTCAATCTGCATCTCAGCCATTTATCTAATAACTTGCCTGGGGGCTAGGGAGATGGCTCGGTGGGTAGAGCACTTGCTGCACAAGTGTGTGGACCTGAGTCGGAATCTCCAGCAAATATGTAAAAAGCTGGGCATTGGCACTGTATGACTCTGATCCCGGAGAGTGGTGGGTTAGTGAGCTCTAGGTTCTGTGAAAGACCTTGTCTCATAAAAATAAAGGTGCCAAGTGATTGGGGAGACATCAGACATCAACTTCTGGCCTCCACATGTATCTGTAACACACACACACACATACACACAAACAGGTACACTTATACCTTAATATCTGCCTTTGTCTGTCTCATGTTATATCCCATCTGTCAATAATTTACTTTTCTATCCAACAACCTATATTCTATCCATCTGTTCCCTGTCTATCCTATCTGTCATCTGCTGCATCTGTCTATCCACCCATCTATCCATCCATCCATCCATCCACCCATCCACCCATCCATCCACCGCCTATCATCTGTCTACATCATTTGTCTCCCTGCACATTACAGTATGAACCCCGTCATCTCAAACCAACCCCTCATTTCACATTTCCTAAATGTCCATCTCATACATTTTTAATCCTCAGAATTTTAAAAATAATGAAAGTATACTTAAAAATAAACTGACAAAAGTCACAAAACCAGAATTTCTCCAAGGCCTTTTCTCCTCTCTCCCTTTTCAAAGAGAAAAACAAAAACACTTCCCATCCTACAAACCCAGCAAATCCACAGCGAAGACATTTCCCATCAGATCTCACACAAGACAAAGGCAAAGGGTCCTGGCAGTCCACAAGACACAAACACTGACGGAGCTGCAGGCCGATCGGGAATGGAAGACAGCCAGCTAGCTAATCAGCAAATGCTCATTAAAGCCCCACTTGTCTCAGTGCTCAATAAACGCCTCATCCCCTTCCTCCAGGGCACAATTCAGCACTGGATCACCATGGCTGATTGGTGGGGGGCAGGCTCTGCAGGACCACTCCCGTGCAGCTCAGCACTCAGAGACCAGCAGCCCAGGGACAGGTGTGAGCACTGGGCCCCAGTTAAACAATGTTACCAGACAACAGGGAAGAACGGCCAACCAGATAAACAAGGGAGAGAGACTGCACAGGAAGGAAAGGAGAAGAGGGTGAGGAGGTACAGAGGGTGGGAGGAGGAGCTTTCAGGGATGGGCAGTGGGTAGGTCCCCCAAGTCACAGGGAAATTCAGATCAGTGACACATGTGCAGACACACATGTACACAGTCAGAGACTATGGACCAAAGAGGTTCACTCACACGGCACACCATACACACACAGTCACACAGACATACACACATGTACACAGTCAGGGACTATGGACCAAAGAGGTTCACTCACACTGCACACACACACACACACACACACACACACACACACAGTCACACAGACATACACACATGTACACAGTCAGGGACTATGGACCAAAGATGTTCACTCACACTGCACACACACACACACAGAGTCACACAGACATACACACATGTACACAGTCAGGGACTATGGACCAAAGATGTTCACTCACACTGCACACACACACACACAGAGTCACACAGACATACACACATGTACACAGTCAGGGACTATGGACCAAAGATGTTCACTCACACCGCGCGCACACACACACACACACACACACACACACAGTCACACAGACATACACACAGACACACACACAGAGACACACACCATCAACATATACACACAAACACACAAGCACACCACACACACATGCAAATACACGATACTATTGCATATACACAGGCAAACACATAGACTACACACACAAACGTAAACCACTCTGCTAAAGAAAAAAAGGGGGGTTTGGTGGATACAAACATTCACCTGATATGGATGCCTGGAACCAAACATGGATCTTCTACAAGCGCAGTAGATGCTCTTAAGTAACAAACCATCTCCCCAGCCCCTACCACACACTTTTGTAACACAGTTGGCCTGCTGCAAGAGAAAACTGCCTGATTCTATGTCAAGTCACAAGCCACAAGACTTGGCATGATGACCAGCATGCCCGCCACAAACACAAGGACTATGCAATCCTGCCCAGGACTCTCACGACACACCAGCTGCACCAGATACACACTCACGCAAGAACTCCTCTAAGGAGTGACAGGATCTTGAAACACAAGTAAGATGGCAGGGATGGTGGTAAACGTGTTCCAGACCTGAGGGGCATGAGCCCAGCTAGCCCAGGATGGGCGATCAATTCTGAGACTGGATCCACTAAGGCATGTCTGGGAGGCCTGGTGGAATGGTCTCATCAGTAAAGCGACTGTCACACAGTCAAGACCTGAGTTCAGATTCTGACAACCCGTATAAAATCTGGACATGATTGCAACCCCAATGCTGGAGACAGAGACAGTGGGAGACCTGGGACTCCCTGGATAGCTTAGTCCAGTCGACTTGATTAGCTTTAGGTCAGGGAGACTCTCAGAAAACAAGGTGGGCACCGCCTGAGGAATCACACCGGAGGTTGGCCCCCGGTCTCACACCCCCGTGCACAGAGGTGTAGGAACACACACTCACACCTACAACACACACGCAACCACACACATCCACATGTACACCTACAAAGGTACAAACTTGCACCACACATCTACACACCTTCACACCAACACATACCAAAACACATACCCACAAACACACCCATTCACACCCACACAACCTGTACCTACACAGACACACACAGACACCTCTACGCTCATACCTGTATACATTTCATGCATACACTGGCACACACTCACACGCACCCATACATTCTCACACCTACACGCAAGAAACAGGCATATCTTTCAGGGTGTTTCCAGGGACAACAGAATGAAAAGAGGTGAACTCTGTCCTAACCAATAGAGTCGCTCTGATGGATTTTTAATGTGCTGGTATTATCAAAGACTGGAACTGTCTGGGGAAATGGGGTCTCTAGGGCCATCCTGCAGTCCCCCAAGCCTGTCTCCACCTGTCTCTTCCACACTGTGGAGAGCGAAAAGAGGCCTTCACCACTAGCTCCCACCAACTCAGTGTTCTCCCAAGAGTACAAGCAACCATGGAATGGAGCCTCGCTCCCAGCAGCCAAAACAAAGACTTCCTCTTCGAGCTGGGCATGTCAGACATGTTGTTATAATGACTAGGAAAGGAATTAAGATGTGTGACATCCACCAAAAGCAACAGGACCAGGATGGCAGCAGGAGCCACTAGGAAGGACAATATGCCCAAAGGAAAGAGAGGAGAGGAAGGTGTCCAGGAAAGAGGGGACTCAACTGAGTGACCCAGAGGCGAGTAGAGAGAAGGCAGAGAGAAAGCCCCTCCCCAGTCAGTCCGAGACTACCAGGTCCACCCTGGGCTCTAACAAGGGTCCATGGAGTTTCTACAAAGACTGGCTACATAGTCACTGCCCTAGTTAGCCTTAACTGCCAACCGAGGGAGTCTCAGTTGAGGGACTCCTTAGGTTAGACTGGTCAACAGGCAAGCCTTGTGATATGATTGTCGATTGATGTAGGAAGGCAGTGCCATTCCCTGGGCAGGTGGTCTTGAGTTGTATGAAATGCCAGCTGAGCAGGAGCCAGAGAGTGAGCCTGCAAGCAGGGTTCCTCCATGGTTTCTGCTTCAAGTTCCTGCTTTGATATCCCTTAGTGATGAACTATGACCTGGAAGCATAAGTTAAATATCTTCCTCCTCTAAGGTGCTTTTGGATAGTTTATCACAGCAACAAAATGAAAAGAACACTCCCCAAACCCACCTCTATTTGCTTCTAAGCACAAGCTCTTGTTTCCCAGCTTCTGTGACTGACTTCTAGCCAACATACACTTTTTTTCCCCTGCATTGCTGGCGATCAAACCCAGGACTTCATGGAAGGCAAGAACTCTACCGCAGCCCCATCCACTGGAATATGAACGAGAAGACAAGGTCCAAGCCCTTTCCAGCCCCACAAACTATCCAAGTATCCCCTTATCATTTACCATCTGGTTTATTGTTAACAGATGCAGAATTTCGGAAAAATGCAGTTTGACAGTAAAGAGCCACAATACAGCAAGGGCTCTAGGCTGTCAATCATTTAGGGAGACGAGAGTGACAACTAGAAAGCACCATGTTTGACTCTCAGTGACTGACAAACTTCCATTAAGTAGAAGTCATTCTTAGTTTGGAACCATCTGTTGTGGCAGCCAGTGTGGGAAGTGTACAGACATTTGCTTTTCAGACACAGTTTGTTCCTTGTACCCACATCTGAAAATCCCTTAAAGACATGAGCAGAACCTGCCAAAGTTCAAACCAGTTCATGTGGCCAGAAACCCTCAGCACAGTCACCACCATGGAATAAAGGCACCAATCTCCAAGCAAAGGATGGGATCCACTAATGAGGAGGAGCTCTCAGACACCTTGGTTGGTCGGTTTAAGGCCCAGCCCTGCTGCTGAGCAGCTGGAGGGTATTTATCCTTCCAGAGTGGTGGGCTGGGGATGGGAACATCTTCTGCCCCACTCAGTATGCTGAGGACCACATGATCATGTGCCCCCTACAACAGGTCTTTGTTTTAGCTTCAACAGACACAGAGGTGGCAGGGAGAACACTGGGCACAGATTTCCAAGCCCAGCCTGGGCCACACATACCATAATACTAACCAAGCCTTGACAAGGCTCAGAAAAAAATATCTGCTATAGAACGTGATGTAGTCGCCTACCCTGTTAGCACCACGACAAAGTCCATGACGTTCCAGCCATTCCTCAGGTAGGAGCCTTTGTGGAAGGCAAAGCCGAGAGCCACAATCTTAATTCCAGCCTCGAAACAGAAGATTCCGATGAAGTATGGTTCTGTGTCATCCTGAAAGGGAGAGAAGGCAGTGTCAGTGGCATGGGTGGTGGAGGGTGGCGTGACCCCAAGGCAGCACACCTTCCCAACAGGCCAAGTGACCAAGGGCCAAGACCTCTGGAACTAAGCCAAAGGAACACACACCGGGGGTTGAGCTGCCTCAGATACCGTGTCACAGCAACAGAGCGCTAAGAACAACCCATTCCTGGGCTAGGAACCCTGAATGCCTACCCTTAGACATATGGATGTTGCCTTGGTTGAGATTATGAATGCCAAGAGGGCATGACCCAGAAGTAGAACCTGGTCTAGGGTCCACCAGCGAGAAGCTGGCGGGGTGGCCCAGGAGCAGAGATTTTGCCTGGAATATCCTACTAAGGGGCTGGGCTATTGCTCAGTGACAGAGAAGCCAGGAGAGCATGTGTGAGGCTTTGTGTTCCTCCTTAGTATAGCAACATAGCAAACAGGCAACAAATCAATGTGGTCTGTATTTGACTCCTGGTAGAACCGAACAACCCCCAAATGACGTAGCTGAGCAAGGAACTCTGGGTACAGACTGGCTCTGAGGCATTATCATGGCAACACGAGGCAGCTGCATTTCTAGCTATGCAGACACAAGCATGCGGCTGCCGACCTGGACGTGGCCTACTTCTGCTGGGGAAGAGGAGCACGGAGGGAAATAGAGGCTGAGGAAGAACTGCCAGTGGGGCCTCTCTGACTGAATCTGAGGTGTGGGTTCGCAGTGGCTAACTGCTCTGTTCTACGTTTATGTATATCCGTATTTCTTTTTTCATAATCAATTTTGTTTTCGGGCATGAAAGAGAAAGTAGAGTTTGGACTGAGTGTGACGTCCTCAAGGATAGTGTAATGGCCACTGTGCCCTGGTGTACACCAGGTCTGCTGGGCCTCAAGGGCGAGGCTGGGCAGTGAGGGCTTCCGTGTCCCCAGGTCACTGGTGAATTTGCAAGGCAGGCCTTCTCCACACAGCTTTCAGCCCAGGCACCCAGAACCCCTCCACCCCAAGCTCACCAGCCGCTCAGACATGGGCGTCTTGTCATCATCAGGGAGGTGCTGCTCCAGGGCCAGGACGATGCAGTTGGCAATGATGGTGGCCAGGATCATGTACTCGAAGGGAGTGTGGGGGTTAAGGAGCAGACCACCAGTGGCTTTGTGCTTAGCATCCTGTCCTCTCCCGGCAACCCAGCCCAACACCCCTAGCTTGACCCTCATCCCCTCATCCCCTCACACCCCTACCCCAGCGACACACACAGTCACTTGCCTCATCTGTCTGGGGGGGGCGCCCCTGCAGTTCCCAGTCCTGCAGCTGTGACTCTTAAAAGGTTTCTATTAGCATGTACTAGATACACATGAGGGTCACATTCAAGCCCCCTCCCTCTCTGTCTCCTTCCCTCCTAGTCCCTCTCCTGGTTTCTTCCCTCCGCCCTCTCTCTGGCTCAATACATTTAGGGTTGCTCACAGGCAGCGACTACACCCCTGCAGAAAATGTCACCCCGCTAACTGCGTATAAATCCCCAGGGAAGGATGGCGCCTTGAGAGGCCCTCTTTCCTCCGTGACATGGTGCCGACACAATCTTGTGCTCTGAGTTCAAGAGTGCCCCAGCCCGTTCTCCAGGTCTCTCACTCTTTCCACCCCTTAGCCAGGTCTGTCTCCACCCCTGCGGTGTAATCACTGCAAGCGCCGCAGCTCTGCATCGGCTGTGGGGCACACGGCATTCCCATCAACCACCGCAGGGCCAAGGGCAGAAGAGAGCAAAATCCACCGACTCAGGGAGAAGCGAGTGGGTGAAGTGACTCCAGCACACAGAGCACACCAGACAGAACCACAGTGAGGAGAGCAGGGCCCTCCGCATGCGTGTGCCAGCATCCACCAATCCAACTGGCTGGAGGTGAAAAGTATTCTGAGAAAGACAAATGTGTCAGGCGGACCCTAAACAACACACAGCAGCAACTAGTGAGGGACATGCCTCTATGTTAGGTCCTCAGGTCACCTAGAGATGAGCTGGCATCTCTGGGAGGAGATGTGCAAGCCTGGCAGGCAGGGCTTGAACGTCTGCAGATTTTGGTATTTTGGGGGTCCAGGAACTGACCCACTGTGCATATGGAAGGATGACAACGGGTCATGCCTGTAGTAAGACAGCGAGTGCCGTGAAGAGCAGGCAGGGAAGAGGTGAATCACACTGGTCAGGGGAATGGAAGACTGTACACTGTAACTGTAAAACGCCTGCTGTGCAAGCTTAGGGGTCCCAGACGAAGCCCCAGCCACCACAGGAAAGATGGGTACATTGGTACACATCTGAAACACAGGTACTGGGAAGGGGGAGTGGATCCCGAGGATTGCCAGCAACTAGCTGAAATGGGCAACTCTGTCTCAAAACTTAGGTGCAGAGCAATTGAAAAAGATGCCTGACGCTGACCTCGATGACCTCTGACTTCTGCAAACACACACCCACACATGTGCAAACACACCTATCCATACATGCACACACCCACACACGTGCAAACACACCTATCCATACATGCACACACCCACACACGTGCAAACACACCTATCCATACATGCACACACCCACATACGTGCAAACACACCTATCCATACATACACACACCCACACACGTGCAAACACACCTATCCATACATGCACACACCCACACACGTGCAAACACACCTATCCATACATGCACACACCCACACACATGCAAACACACCTATCCATACATGCACACACCCACACATGTGCAAACACACCTCATGCACACACCCACACACGTGCAAACACACCTATCCATACATGCACACACCCACACACGTGCAAACACTCCTATCCATACATGCACACACCCACACATGTGCAAACACACCTATCCATACATGCACACACCCACACATGTGCAAACACACCTATCCATACATGCATACACCCACACAAACATGTGCATACACTCACACACATAAAAAACAAAACAAACTGTGGTCTGCCATGACACCCAAAGCATAGTTAACAAAAACATGGACATGGGCCAACAAGACGTCTCGGTGGGTAAAGGCATAGCAACAATACTGGCCACCTGAGCTGAATCCCGGAACCAACATGATAGGAGAGAAATGACTCCTGAGAGCCGTTTTCTGACCTCCATCCGTGAACTGTGCATGTGTGTGTGTGCATGAGCACGCACGCACACATACACACCCAAAAAAACGTGCACCATGCATGCAAAGCCCTGCTCCTGAAGATTTCTAGAAAGCACCACAGGGCAGGATCAGTTCTCACTCCCACAGAGTGGAGTGAGACAAAGCCAGAGAGCGCCTAGTGCTGGGGGCTGGGGGCTCAGGAATCCTATGCACTACTCAGGGAGCAGGGAGCTGTGTGGCACTTCCTAGGAAGGTTAAATACGGAATTACCATCCCACACAGGGATTCTACTCTGAGGAACAGAGCTCAAAGAATTAGAAAATCAGAAGTCAGACAAACACTGCTAAGTGGCAGAATGTTCTCGACCTGCCAAAAAGTGGAAGATGCCTTATTTGGTATCGCTAAACAAGCAGGTAAGAATAAGGAGGTTGTCTCTGTCCCGTGTGGACTATTCAGCAGTCCCAAAGAGCGATGCCCTGATACGTGAACACAGCTTGAGACCATGAGGCAAGAGGAAGGAGCAAGGCACAAAGGGGCTCATGGCCACCGTGTATGGAACACACAGCATCAGCAGATCTTCAAGGCAGCTTCCTGGAAGCTGGGGGCTGAGGGAGAGAGTGAGGGCTTCACGTGCGGGAATTAGACGCACAGTTGCACGACACTCTGACTGTACTAAATTCTAGGGCGTTAGTCACTTGAAAACATCTTGGGCATTTAGGAGGCAGAGGCAGACAGATCTCTGTGATTTTAAGGCCAGCCAGGTCTATATAACCAGTTCCAGGCCAGTGAGGGCTACAAGAGAAATTCAGTCTTGGGGTTGGGGTGGGATGCTAGAGACATGGTTCAGCAGATAAGAGTGTAGAGGACCCAAGTTCAGGCCTGAATTTGACACCTTCTGATCTCCATGGGCACCCCTCTCTCTCTCTCTCTCTCTCTCTCTCTCTCTCTCTCTCTCTCTCTCTCAAGCATGCACGTACACACACACACACACACACACACACACACACACACACACACACACGTCTTTTGTGGGCTGGAGAAATGGCTCAGCATAGCCATTAAAGGCTAAGCCTCATAACCAAAACAAATCTTTTATAAAAGTGGACAGAACAGGCATCTTGCGGGGAGGGGAGGGACTCTGAAGATATAACAATATCTGAGAGAAGGGACACACCCTTTCCCTTTGCCCTTCTTCCTCACCTCAGGAACTGTCTGTTGCTCTAGCTTGACACACAGACTAGTTCACAGAGAACAGTGCGAGTTCCCTGTCCCTCAGAAGCAGCCCTAGTCCAACAGCTTGTGGATGGAGCTACCTATCTTGGAGCTAGACGGCGGAGAGTGAACAAGTGGATTTTAGATGTGCAACCACAGCACCTGAGGGTAGGGAGAACGGTTTCCCAGCCTGACTCAGTACGTGAGTGGGCACTGTCCTGGACACTGCAGGGAGTGGCGAAGCATGTATGGTTGCCGTCTGCAGAGCCAAATGCATCATGTGTGTCCCCAAGGACAGTGTGCCTCCATTTACAGGCTGGGAGGGCTTGGACCCTCTCGGCGCTTCCCTCGGAGAAGCTGACTGGCTTGGTCTCTGCTTTGCATCTAGATCTGTTTGGCAGTTTGCTTGGGTTTTTGCGGCAGGGTCTCAATCTCTAGCCTTGATCTGGGAGCCCCCTGTCTCAGCCTCCCAAGTGATGGGACGACAGGTCACTGGATTAGGTATTCTGGAGGTGCCGTCAAACCACCCCTTAGAAGGCTGGAAGGAACTGAAGCCTAAACCCCTTTTCTGGATGGAAAGGTAAAGGAGGAGACAGTAAACAGAGGAGGAAGCATCTCAGGAAGAAGGGACGGCCAGGCCTTTTCTGTTTGGTGTCAGTCTCAGTGCCCAGCTGCAAACAGCAATTCAGGATGACAACAAAAGCGACTCACAAGCCCATCCGTGACTGGCGTCATGCCTCTCAGCACCAGACCCAGAACAAAGCGCTACAAAGACTCCCCTCTGCCTCACCCTGCAGCCTGGAAAACAAGAGCCAATATTTGCACACACAGAAAGCAAGGCCAAGCCCTTGCTGGCGCTGGCGATTTGAATGAGACTCGCGTTCTCTCTCAGTCAGCCTTCCCCGCCTGCGTGGCTGCTTCTTCGTGGAGCCACCATCTCCCTCTGGCATTCCTTGGCTTCCTGTCCCCAGATGGCTGCCGTGAAACTGCCTTTGCAGCAGCTGGCACCATGTTTAGGTCCTGCTGTGTCAGCAAGGTTCCTAGTGCCTGGGCTTCAGAACCCAGAATCCCCGAGATCTGAAGGAAAGACTTGGCATGCAGATGAGCGGAAGAGAAACTCCATTTCTTCTTCGCAACTTCATTGTGTTCTATTTATCAGTTCTGGCAGTGCTGGGGAGAGAACCCTAGGTCTCACGCATGCTAAGAAGCCACATCCTCAGCCCTCTTCCTACTTTTTATCTCAAGACAGGATCTTGCAGAGTCACCTGGGCTGGCCTCAAAGTCACTCTGCAGCCCAGGCCAGCCTTACACCTGCAACTCTCCTGCCTCAGCTTCCTGATCCCTGCAATGACAGATCCACATCCCCCGGGCTCAGTTCCTGATACTACTTCCTCTTCTTTTTGTCAAATCTAAACACACGAGCTCCCAATGTCACTTCACAGACCCCGAGTACGAGTCAGTGACAACGGGTCCTATATTCTGGCCACACAAAGCAAGCGCTCAACATCATGGGCATTATGGCCCTTTAAGAATGCAGTCTAAGGCCTGTCTCCACTTTCTGAGTCAGGAGGAGCCTTCTAGAGCTTCTAGGCTGTGTGCTGGCACAGTTCAGGGAGCCTGTGCTCTACTTCAGGGTGGGTGGAGCCAGGCATCTGGGCTTTGAGCCCTCTCAGGAGGAGGGGCCCTTCCTTTCCCTCCCAGTTTTCATCTCCGCATCCAGATTCCCAGTGAGCCCAAGAGTCCTAGATTCCCTCATTCAGGCCAGGGGACCA